CGTTATACTTGTGCTGTATTGCTTTGTCTCGCTTAAAGATTGAAAGAAATAATGTGAGAGTTTGTATTGATCTACTTTCCAGTCGATCAACTTCAATCCCGGGTAGTGTAGTTGAAAACGCTTCGTAGGAAAACAGATGGGGCATTTGATAAATGTTAACATTTCCACGGGTGATAAAAAAAAAGCTCTTTGCAGGAAACGCTAGTCATCATTATCATCAAAATCATTATCATCATTATCACTAGCAGAAGAAGAAGAAAAAGAAGAAGAAGAAGAAGAAGAAGAAGAAGAAGAAGAAAAAGAAGGAGAAGATGAAGGAGAAGAAGAAGAAGAAGAAGAAGAAGAAGAAGAAGAAGAAGAAGAAGAAGAAGAAGAAGAAGAAGAAGAAGAAGAAGAAGAAGAAGAAGAAGAAGAAGAAGAAGAAGAAGAAGAAGAAGAAGAAGAAGAAGAAGAAGAAGAAGAAGAAGAAGAAGAAGAAGAAGAAGAAATGGTGAAATGATATAGGTTTAACGCCCCTATCAACACTTTTGCGTTATTTAAGAGGCCTGATCTCCAAGTTGAACGACCATCTCCGAAAAAACCGAGCCAAGTGGGAAATTTGTGTAAAGTTCCTTTCCTTATAACACACCGTTGGATCGAGCTGAGGCTCAAACCCCCGATTCCGCAATCTGACGAGTACGAGTCCGGTAGCCTAACCACTAGTCTACCGACGCCACGAGGAAGAAAAAGAAGAAGAAGAAGAAGAAGAAGAAGAAGAAGAAGAAGAAGAAGAAGAAGAAGAAGAAGAACAACAACAACAACAACAACAACAACAACAACAACAACAACAACAACAACAACAACTACAACTACAACAACAACAACAACAACAAGACAAGGATAAGAAGACCACAACATATCCAGGAGAAACAACTGTACCTATGGGAAGTGAGGACGATGGTGCGTCCACTGGCCCGTATGTCGGAGAGCACGTTCCATATCTGACGCCGAGCCTTGGGGTCCATGCCGGAGGACGGCTCGTCCAGGAACAGGAAGGGGGGATCACCCACCAGCGCCATGGCCAGGCTCAGTTTCCGTTTGTTACCCCCACTTGTGAAATGGGCAGATCAAAGGGAGCATGGTCAAGCACACAGATAATTAATTATTATTAAATAATAATAATATTATATAGAATTTATATAGCGCATTTCCACAAATAATTGTTAAATACTGTACAATAATACAAAGAACATATGAAGCGCATTGCTCCTATAGTAATCCTCTTTCTCTCTCTTTCTCTCACTAGTCTCACTCTGTCTCTCACTCTCTTTCTCTCTCTCTCTCTCTCTCTCTCTCTCTCTCTCTCTCTCTCTCTCTCTCTCCCAGACACCCTCGCACACATTGATGAATTCACATAGTCATAAATTCTTACAGAACAGAACAGCAAGAATAAACGATACTGAGAGAATATAATAGATACTGAGAGGACATAATAATATTTGTATTGGGAATGTCGGAAATTACAGATTGAAGCTGGACTGAAACAAATGCGTTTTAAGTGCTGATTTAAATTTTGATCAAGTGGTAGACTCCCGTAGGTGAGCTGGTGCATTATTTATAATATACTGAAGTGGATGGTTGAAGGGTACCACTGGTAGTCCTACATTTTTCCAGCACTAAATGACCGTTTTGTGTCGAAATGTTTCTCTTTTATAAAAAAAAAAAATCCATGAACAAACAATAACACAAACAACAACAACAACAACAACAACAACAAAAAACGAAACACAAAATTAAATGGGGAAAAAACAGGCTGTACACGGAGGTTAATATGAAGCTACAAATATACCTATCTCGGGGATCAAACATCCCTATGAATACTACTTCTTAGTTGCCAGAATAAGATTGTAGCGTACTTTAAAATGTGTAGTGGTAGAATATATAGACATATATTATAATAGACTGCACCACCAACGACAACACCAAAAACAACATAAAAAGCCTCAACAACAGCAACATAACTACTCTAACAATGACAATAAAAGCAGCAAGCATAGATAGTGACTTCATCATAAAGATACCACCCCTTTAAAAAAAGAAAAAAACAAAAAAACAACCAACAGCGCCCCCCCCC